CCTTGATAAAGAGCGGGCGAATCAAAGCAATTGCTGCGCACAATTAAGAAAACATAACAAATCAATGAAATTATAATCTTAAGCAGTAAGCAGAGTTGTATAACATCGCCGTGAGAGGGTTTACAAGACCATTCGTCGGCGAGAAATCGATGATGGGGGAAGAAGAGGAAGGTGTTCAATCCTCTCTCCACAGCAGCAGTCATGACTTGCTTGCTCTGTGTAAGTATCCACACCTTCTTCGACCTCTCGCTGGACATTTCCGAAACCGAAATTGAGGAAGACGCAGAAGGAGGAGAGGAAGAGGGAACTGCACAATTTGGCCGATAAGAACTTCGCGGGAGAGGATCTGCATTCTTGTGGTCGTTCCAGGTGTCAATTTTGCAGAGTTTCTTCTTCCAGTCCACTGCAAATGCAAGTACATTAAGAGCCGATTGAGAAAAAACAAGGCGCGAAAATTCGCCGGTTAGAGACGGAAAGGGAAATGGAGCTTGCGAACCAGTTTGGGTGGGCGAGGAGGGAAACCGTGGGAGGATGATGGACGCAGAAGAACACATCCAGACCGCCATGGAAATTGCTATTTTTCTTCAGCCTTCAGGTGGCACTGGCATATTCAGAACCGGGCTTCTTCGTTTTAAGACCACAGCTTGGGCTATATTTCAGTATTCTTGGGCTAATTAGTTGGACAACCGGCCTAACGGATCTCTTTCTCAACGAGGGCCCAATGATTCGTGCAGTCCGCATTCTGGTGAGTATTTTAAATTTTAATCAAATGGTAGAGGTTGTATGTAACTAGGGGATATTCATTTAGTGAGTTAGCAGTTACACCGATAACCGATAGTTGATAATCGTATTTTTAATTGGTTATAAGTTAATGATATACTTATCGGTAGGCTGAAATGAGTTTCGGTGTAATTGATAACCGAATAATCGATTAAAGGTTTACCGAATATAAAAGTTTATCCCCTAGAAACGACCATGTCTCTCCCGAAACACTCTCGAACTTCGAACGAACAATCTTCTCACTGCTCCAACCCTCTTCTTCTTCCCCAATTTTCTCCCATTGTGAACCCTTAAATTGAAAGAGACAAAGATCATCCTCGCTTTTTCGATTGAAATGTTGGCATCAAAATTGGATTTGGAAGATCATATGACTTATGCTTGAGGAAATATAGCAAAGACCGCACCACAATTTCTTCCACCCTGTTTGTACTCATCACTCTTCCCGTTCCTCTCTTTGGTTTATTCTCTAAGTAGTCCCAATAAGAACAACAAGTCAAACTCAAACCAATGATAAAAAAATACAAAAAGAACACTTACATATTTAAGAAAATATCTGGAAAAAATTCACAATTGAAAAAAAGAGAGGAAAGTCTTTTGTTGGTTCGGTTATAAATCAGTTATTTTGGTCTAACCTTACTAAATCACCTACTAAACAATTAGTTGGTTAATCGACATAATAACCTACAACCGACTATAAAGTTATGACTAACCACTTATATTAGCCAATAACCGAATAAATAGTTACGAGTATAATCGAACCGAGTAATAGCCGACAATCCTCATCAAAATGGATGGAATTTAAACGAGTCAATGTCATTAACAAAATTTCGTTTGGTAGAATAGAGAGCAATCTTACTTCTTTGAAAGCGTATTGAATTGAACAAATTTGTGGTCGCAGATCAAATTGAAAAATCTACCGATTTAAAATTCTAAAATTTGTTCATTTAAAAGGTTCATTGTGCTCACTTGCTTTGCTCAATGAAATTTAGGCACAATTCCATGGTTTATTCATCCCACCTCATAGACAAATAGGACAACAATAGTCCACAGAATTCCAGCTCATTCTACAACTGAGCACAAGCATCAACAAAAAAACCAAACCAGAATTTCAACCAAGTACACCAATCTACGAAGTGAAAAACCTCAGCAGCATCTGGTGCTCATAAGGCTTGGAAGGAGTAAGAATGGTGGAAGGAAAATTGGGATGATTCACAGCATCAGGATACCCCTGAGTCTCCAAACACAGAGCTCCACTCTTCTTATACACCACCCCACCTTTCCCCTTCGTGTCCCCAAGCGACCCGCTCGTGTACAGCTGCACCGCCGGCTGGTTCGTGAACAGCTCCATCACCCTCCCTGACTTCCGATCATGAACCACCGCCGCCTTCCTCAGCCCTCTCTTGTTCCCCCGCCGGATTATCTCCTTGTCGTCCAGCACATAATTGATGTCGTAACCCTTTTGCAGCTGACCGATTCTGCTCCCCACGGAGTTTGATTTCAGGAAGTCGTAGGGCGTCCCGGCAACGGAGACGACTTTCCCCGTGGGGATGAGCTCGCCGTCGGTCGGGGTGTAGCGGGAAGCGTAGATCTCGAGCTCGTTGGAGAGGATGTCGCCGCTGTCGTGGCCGCCGAGGTTCCAGTAGGCGTGGTTCGCCAGGTTGACCGGTGTCGCCTTGTTGAGTGCTCTGGCTTTCATCTTGATGCTCAGCTGGTTGTAGGCTAGGAGCGTGTACTTCACCACCGCCACCACGTCGCCAGGGAACCCTATTGATCACATGATCACATTTCGGATTAAAACATGTCGCGGTGACATTATACGATTAAAAGAATCAGTTTGTCCTAATAACTCGTACCTTGCTCGCCATTGGGGCTGAGGTATTGGAAGACGATGTAAGGCTCGACGTCGTTGGGCTTGTAGTCGGTCACCTTCCAGATGACCTTGGAGAAGCCCAATGGGCCGCCGTGAAGGGTGTTCTTGCCGTCGTTGGGGATCAATTTGTAGAGGGTGCCGTTGAGAGTGAACTGGGCGCCGGCGATTCTGTTGGCGACTCTGCCCACCGTGGCTCCGAAGCTGTTGGTGTCATTCTGAGACAAAAAAGGCGATGACTTGATCTCATCAGATGACTATAAAACCTACCTATAATGTAGTTTGTGATTAAGAGGATATAATCAATCGTAGTTGTTGAAGTTTTTTTGGGGTAGAATATTATATAGTCCCCAAACCACATCCACCAGTCCAATGCATGTGCTTGGAAGTATAGTAACTCGAGTCTCTCTTTAGATTTTCAAAGCCACAAAATGGATCTTAGCCTTAGAAAAGGTGTATGCAATACAATGCACATCTTTGTTATTGTGGTCATGATTGAGATTAAGCTCGAGATTGTAGCATAAGAAATTTCAGAGGAATGTAAAAGTAAAATCAATTTTGGGGGAATCCGATAAGACCCATCTTTTCTCCACTTTGGAAGATATGAAAAAGGTCTCTTTCTGTGCAACAGGACAAAAAAGGGACGTTTTTTTCTCTGCAAAAGATGAGCTGTAAACGTTGTCCCCTGCCGTTGTGTTTCTCATCACAGAGTGGGAGGAGAGAGAGAGAGAGAAAGAGAGAGTGATGATCATTTACTACTATGATGATATGAATGAAGTTGGTGGATCATGGGTTGGAACATGATGATGAAGGAAATCAAGAACTGAAATTGATCTCTAAGCTGAAGGGAAATGGAGCTAGCTTGGATCGATGGATCTCACCTTATAAGCCTCGGCAGTGTCGTATCCAAGAATCACATCATTCAGCTTCCCTGCAGCAAACCCAGATTTCGATTCAAGGAAAAACGCACACGCAAACTAACTGGAGAAGATACATACAAGAAGAGATCGAGATCAGGGAAGCTGGGTAGCTAACCGTATTTGTCAGGGACAATGAAGGACATCATATGGGCGCCATAGTTGGTGACCTTGAGGGACATCTTCCCTTTCTTGAGCTCATAAGTCCCGATCTTGGTTTCCCCATCACCAGCACCAAAAGCCACTACCAGAAGCGCACTCAAACTCAAACCGATAAGCAGCAGAGAAGAACAGTACTTGGCCATGGTCACCACTCTGTTTTTGCTTCTAGGCAGATCTCTCTTCTCCTCTGTTTTGTTCTCTGCAGCTTCCTGATCTGCACTTTATATAATGGGGGCAAGATGAGAAGACAATTCCAAGTGAAGTGACGGTGGAATTGAGAAGAAAGGAAATATACAAGGAAGGAAGGCGGCCGAGGATTTAATTGATTAGTCTATTTTGTTGAATGTGTATTGGGAGAAACCGAGAAAGCTAGCAATGCTCTGTTTTTTCTTACCAGAAGATGCGGCAGGCTGGATGGGTTTAGTTCCCATTGACGTTACCGAGAGAGATCTTTATGGGGAGTTTTTGTATTGACTTGGTGAATGATTTGCGTGCACTGAATAAATGAGATGAGGAAAGGAAGAATGGGAAAAGATGCTAAGCTCTAAAATATGTGATTACACCTCACTTGGATGTTCTCCTTCTACGACTTGTCCAGTTTGGAAATGCCTGCAAAAATCCAATATACTAGTCTCACTTGTCTCTAACCAAAATGAACTAGACTACTAGACTCTTAATACCATTTTGCATATTATGCAAGGTTCAAAAGCGAGACTAGACACTTGGTTAGGCGAGACTAGACACTTGGTTAGGCGAATCAAAAGGAAAATGCCTAGACAACGACTAAACATGCTAAGCACTAGGTAGAGCCTCAACACTCGCCTTACGCCTAGCACTTTTTTTAACATTGATATTATCTCTTTAAAAGAACAAGTTACAACTTTACTGTTTGGTAGAGTCACATCCAAACACTGTTATTTAGTTTGCTTTTTCATAACTAACTACTGTTACTTAGTTTGCTTTTTCAGAACTTGGAGATTGATTTCCTTCTTTTGCCGTCGTTCCGTTCCCTTCTTTTGCCTTTTCGGTTCTCGATCTCTGATTGGTCCTTCTTCTGACACGGACAAGCGTCAAATCGGAGGAGTGGCACTCTCGTAATTAAGGGTTTCCACCAGTCATGTCATAGGTGTTCTCTCCGAGATCTTTGGCCTGCCAATAAAGACTTTTTTCATTGGCTCTCTCTCTTCGTTGCTTTTCTATCCTTCCCCTCCCTCTCGCATACCTCTTCCCAGAATCCCAGCCACCCAATCTCCTCTCTCTCTCTTGAAGAAGAAGAAAATGGAGAGAGAGAGAGATAGAAGACTCCCCTGTCAAGCCAGAAGGAGGAGGAAGGAAGGATCTGATCAAGCCCAGCGATGGCAGCAACGGGAATGCCGGCGATGGCGTCGACGGAAGGTCTGCCATGGACGCCGACGATGGTTTCGACGACGACGACTAAGGTAAGAGGCGTTTTCCTTTTTTGCATATTGCATTTTATGAGATATATTTTCCTATTGGTTTGAATTTGATTACTTCTTGTTTTGTTCATGGGGTTCTCGATCAGGCAGAGGGAAGTTGAAAGATGTGAACGTCGATGGCGGCAAGGGGAAGGCCGGCTATGGCGGCGACGGAAAGGTCTGCCATGGACGTGAGTGATGGTCCTGCCGATGATTGCTTAGGTCAGAGGTTCTTTCCTTTTTGCATACATGCAGTTTTTGAGATTTTTTTTTAGCTTGAGCTCTGATTACTTCGGCCGTAATTGAGAAAATATAGGTAAGGAAGTGAGGTCGTTGGGCAGAGGAAGCATGGCTTGTTGCCGCCGGTGGTACACCGGCCGTCTAAGATGAGTTCTTTTGTGGATTTAGTTTACTTTTCAGTTTCCGTGAGTTTGGATCTTTAATTTATTGTTCTCTGCTAATCCTATCCTACGTTTTCTTATTTACTTTTCGTGATTGACAAGAGTCAAGAGAAGAGGAATTGTCGCTGTTGTGTTTTTTCGAAGGTAGCAGAGGCGACCCACTGCTCTCTAGGTAAGCCTCTTCTTTTTGGATTTTGTTCTGTTTATATTCTGGGTCTCTGCCTTTCTTTGATCTGGTTCCTATTTGTTTTTGTTTTGATTTGATTTCCGCCAAGGGAAAAGTGAGAAGAAGTCGCCATCGCCATTTCTCTCTCCATCTCATGAAGAAGAAGAACCAGCTTCAGGAATGATCTCCAACTCGCTCCTGCCGGCTTCAGTTCCTCTCCCTTCTTCTCTTGAATCTAACCTTTTATTCTTCTTTCCCAGGTTATCTCTTTCGTTTTTCAGATTCGCTTGGCACAGAGCTCCCATCTTTCTATATTTTTTCCCGACAAATCCGATTTCTTTTCTGGTGGTCAGTCCATGAAGGCAATGGAAGGAACCTCCCCAATGATGACAGGTCACTAGCTCCTCTCTACCTTTCCAATTTCATCATGGTATTGTTATTGCTAAATTGGGGATTGTTGGTTTCCTTTTATTTGGGTCTCTCTTTCTTATTTCCACGTTGTAATTCTGATTTCCAGATTAAAACTCTCTCACAGGATGCAGCAAAAAACCAACACAACAGTCAGTCTTTGTCATTGCTGGAACGCTAGGAATCCCAATTAAACTCCTATTAGGGTTCTCTCTGTTTGGCAGATTGATGTTGAGGTATCCCCTTTGTCATTTACTAAGCCTATCCATGGTCTCATTGCTCTAGCTCCACCGTTGTTGGGGAACGTTCAGCCTTTGTGTTGGATTCTTCACTTAGTGCCATTTTCCACTGCATGAACACATAATTGTTAGGTTTCTTTGATTTGATTACTCAAGACATTTTATGAGTTGATGATAAATTTGAAATGGGGTTCTGCTTTTTCCAGGGAAGCGCTTCATCGTAATGCCTCTTGAGAAGATGCATCGTCGTGGTGGGTTGTTGGTGAGTGGGGGTTCTGTTCAGGCTATCACTACCAAGCAATTGCAGTTTGGATTGGGGTCAAACCGTCACTAGCCTATTCCTTAGACGCCCATCTAACCCTTCATGATATGCATCAATCCGAGTAATGCCTGTGTGCTTTTTTGTACGACTATTTTGCTGGTTTTAAGATGAGAATTAAACAAGTATAAGAGGGTGCTTTATGCTTCTGTTGCTGAGCCATCTCAATGGTCACTTGCTGGATGCATCCAGGCGTATAGAGTGGTGGAGATGACTATGTTGTTCAGGTATTTTCTTCTGTGCTTTGCTGATATTCTCGATTTCCATGAATAGTTATGGTTAGAGTATTATTATTGGATTCCTTTTAGAATCCAGTGAAAATTATTGTTGTAAGTGTGATATTTTCCTTTTTTTCGTCAAAGCACGAGACATGATTCTACATTGCCTATTTTGTACAAGTCAATGCACTTCACCAACTAACGCAGCTCAAACTAATGGATTGAAGTTTACCTTCAATATCCTTTTTTAGGTCCCATGTCTGCACCAGTAATACTCCCACTGAAATCCAAATAATTAGATCACTCAACAATTGAATAATGTTGGATTGTGATTAATGATGTTGCTGTTGGTTTTTGTATATTTTTTATCTTCCGCATACTGTTTATTTATTGCTCGTGAACAAGCGCCGCTGGTAGTGAGTCAGAGTCAGGCACTGCACCATGTTGCCATTTTTGTAGCCTGAACCTGTTTTCAATCATTGCCAGTTATATGTTGTGGTCTCGTGTGTCAATCAACTGAAGGCTGCAATGTTTGACACGGATCGAAGAAAGTGTTGGAAACCACACTTACAACAGTGTTTATTCAGAAGCTTTCGAAAAACTAGAAGCCACCATCTGGTCCTTCTATCACCAATGCAAGGTATTTCCTTTTCTGATATGTTGTATTTAGTCCCAAATGGGCTAGCTTCCCTTGAACAAATTTTGTCAGTTATGCATAAATAACAGAACCCTTTAATTAAGTGTTATTGTTTTCACTTCATTACAGGATTCTTGAAGATGTGATGTTGCTGGATGGAATAGGTGACAACGAAGGCCGTCCTCTGTTCAACGTACATGCAATGTAAGTACCTGGTCAATGGGATCCAGTTTTGATTTTACAATTTGTTTTGCGGATATTGTAGTTATTGACAAAATCCTGAAAGTAGAGACTGTTAGAAACTTAGAATCCCAACCCACTAGATTGGTTGTCTATGTCATATTCACAATTTAAAGTTTAATTGAATTTTCATTCAAGCCAGATTACATGGTAGTTCTATGAGTCAAACATCCGAGTGTCAAACGACAATACTTAAGATGTTATATCACAAAAATAGAGCCAGTGAGGTTAATAGAAAATTCATTTAGCTTTCTCTGGAGTTCATGCAGCCTAACACAACTTCCTCTTACAATGAACATTAAAACAATACAGTTTCAGTCTAAAGTATAGAAGGAAACAACGTCTAGGTAGCGTAAAAAATACATAACTTGCCTCTGCATTCACATGACTATTGACTGGGCTATTTTTATCTTGGCTCAACTGACCTAGGCTTTTACCCATTGTAAGGATTTCATTTTACTTACTCATTTGCTACATTCACCGCCTACAATCTGCATAGTAGGATGTCATTTGTGGTATCTTTCCAAATTAAATTGACGTAGGTAATTCAACGGGAACCATTACAGGATCATCAACACTGCTACCATTAGAAGTCTTTCAGGGATGCAACAAAAAAAAAAAACCACTCATTTAGCTTCCAGCCTGGTAGATTGTTGACATACTCATTGGTGCCATACAGGGTCCAATGCATAATGGTACTTCATTGTACCATATAAAATGCCATAATATCGTTCCGTCCACCATTTATATGTATTTGCCATTCGTTTGGCAAGTTGGATTTATGCCTTCGTCACAAACTCACGATTGAGTGATGTTCTGCTCTTTTTTGCTGTGAATTGATGGAAACTTAGGCTGAACAGTTACTTCACGGTCTGTTCTTCACTTAAAAGTTCCCTCTGCAACTTCCTTTTTGTTCTTTTTAAAGCTCTGTTTTACATGCCCTCTCTTTGCTCTTTAAGTCATGTGTTCATTATTAGTCTAACGAGTTCAGTGTAAGTTCCATAGTTTATGACCTATTTGGAATGCTAAATTTTCAAATATGCACTTCTTGCGTGAGATGTAGCCCTTTAACATAGATGGACGCCCGAGGAGAGGTGGGTAGGAGCGAGCCTGAATGTTAGAGTAGAGAGGAAAAAGGCTTGCTGCATGAGATCTAGATTCGGGGTTGTTCTTTGTGGATTTCATAGTTCTGATACTTATGTTTATATGTTTCAAGTCAATCGACCTCTGGTACTGCTATTATTTAGCCTTTTTTCATCTGTATATCCTTCTGGTTAGTGGTAGTAAACTGACGTGTATTTGTCCTTTCATACAAATCAGTTTATCTCCAATAAATGCCAGGACTCCAACAGTAAACTGAGGCAGTAGTGAAAACACAGTTAGAGTGAAATGATCGATGTGTTAAATGGTTCCTAAGAACTCAAACAGTGTTCGTGGCTGATTGGTAGGCGACCCAATGGACATCAATGGCAGGACTTTTCAGGATGTGGGATTCCTGAACAAGAACTTATGCCGAAGCCGCGGAAGGAGAAATTGACTATGGTGATTTTAAGTTAGTTCTCTTAGCTGCCAGTGCTTCTCTTGCCAGTTATCTGCATCTTTCCACTGTTCATGGTAAAAAGGGTAACATTGTTCCTATCTTTTATTGAGTGGGTTGTCAGTGATTTGATTGCTTCACGATTACATATTCTTTATTCCTTATCGTTCTTTCTGAGAATTGCTTACTTCAACAGGCTACATCCTACCCAGGAAAACACCATTGCCATATTCGATAAAAAAAAGACATTTGTAGGCAGATTTCAGCATACACTAACCACGACTTGATCCAAATACCACCCTAAAAATGTCTCTGCCATTATTCTATCCTGACAATAGGAGATCCTTAACAAGTAGAAAGAAAGCTCTTTACTGCAAAATGCAGAAGTATGCCTTCTTTCCCCATACTCAACCATATACGGAAGCATTATGGTAGCCACCAAAAGGAATACCCTCTATTTCCTTTGGGTCCTAATTCTTGAGTTGGGAGAGCGCACAAGTAACTTAAATGTGACGGAGTGGCTTACCTTCTGTAGCCAAAGTTTATAACCAGTATAACTTTGTAGACTTCTCTAGAATTTTTCATGTCATAATAGAAATTATGTATATTGTCAACTTCAACTTGACGCGAAGCGTAGTTAGTGTGCTTATCTAAAGTAAGCCCTTAACGGTTATATGTTTGTAGCCAGATGCGCAAGTGCAGGATATTTTCCTTGATTAGTTCAATTGATTCAAATGTTTGCTTTTTTCCTACATGTCTACCGCAGGCAAGAGAGCTTATTCTTTAGCATGGGGTTTGCAGTATGTGAATCTTTTCATGATCAGAACTGGTTATATCATCTTAGTTGGCCAGGCTCTTAAGGTGAGCCGATTGAGTTGTCTCTCTTGGTTGAAGCTTTTTCTTTACTGTTTGGTGTATATTTTTGGATGTTTTTTTATTTTACGGTCATCTTTTGCACGTTAGGTGTGCAGTGTCCGTTAGGTGTGCAGTGTCCGTTTAATCTTCTGCAGGTCTGGAACCAATGTCAGCCGAGCCATCAGAGGAGTGTAGGTCAGAAGATGTCTTAAGAGAGAAACATGCCCAATCTGCCGCACGAAACTGATCAGAACTCTCTTCTACTTGCAGTTTAGTGACAAGGTTAGCTCCTTAATTCATCTCTTTTGCTATGTCAGCCCTTTTTATCAATTGTTCTATTTTACTGGAATTCACTCGATCTTGCTTAAGAAATTTAATGTACCAAATCAAATTTACTTATTACTTCGGATTGTCCTTCTCTCATTTATCCGTACATCTCTATGGAAACACAGGCTTGCATTCCTTGTGATAAATATCTTTTAAAATCTCCTAACAACTGAACTGTGTTCATTGCCCACTTCATTGTCGGTTGCTGTTTAGTTGTTCTTATTAGCCTATCAAGGGCCTAAGGGACTTAGGGTCAGGCTGTTTTTCAGCCTGTTTCATGTAGTTATTGGTTAGGTTTGTTCTTGTCTTTTCCGGGCTAGCTGGTTACTCGCATACTCTGTTGTAGGCTCTGCCTCTTGCTCGCAATTCTTGGTTGAAGAGCACATAATCCTCCGTAGCCTGAATTATGTACCTTTTACAAACCATGAACATATCCCACGAATGGATTAGCTAACTGCCACATCATGTTAAAAATAAAATATTAAATGCTTCTTTAAATTTTATATTAAAACTTTTCGTGTCAATTGCGAAGTTCTTGGATCTTGGAATTGTTGTGTACATTAGCCTGCCACATTGTTTCATGCATAGTTATGTGTAGCTTCTTTGTTTAGGATGATAAGCTTTGTCAGGGATTGGTGGTTCAGTGATGTCAGACAATTGTTCCTTTTGTTGGTTATCTTTTATAAGTTCCTTACTGAAGTTCCTTTTTAGATGGTAATCATGCTGTAGAATTTTGGCTTGGTGTCTTTTTTATTTCCTTGCCATGAGCATTGCATTATAAGTAAGGTTAGGTAAAATAGTGTTTCAGAGGCTTTTGTCGTTGAGATTGGTAATTAAACTAATTATATTAACATTCGCATCATAAGTCAAAGTGTGCAATGGCATGAATTATAATTGAATGAGGATGTGGTTTTATCTACGTTCTTTACTGAAAGCTAATGGTTGCGTTTATCGATAGGAGAGACTTTCCTTCCAAAGGATGATGTGAAATTTGTTTCTACTTGCTTGAAATCTCTACATCAGGTCAGGTCGTGGAAATGACGACTATGCAATCACTGCATCGAGCGTCTTAGACTGAGCAGTTGTTTCCCTATGCTTCAAATCCGTACATTGTGATGTTTGGCGTCATTTTCAGAAATATGAATGCTAATTGATGTTTGGCCTTAGAATGTGTCACAATATGAATAATAATTTCTTCAGATGCTGCAGCACAACTTCTAATTCTGGCTACAACATATAAATTGGTGAGATTTCTAGCCTGCAAACAATCTCAATTTCTTACCATTCTATTATTGTATAGAAATAGAAGTTCTATGCGCATTATGGAATCCAAAAGTAGAAGAAAAAGGAAGTTCCTTAAATTAAAACGTGATCTTTTACTTTAATTTCTCCCCACCCCGCAGTTTCTTTTAGATGACATTGTTGTTTATGTGCTTTCTGCCCAAATAACATTTGTATATATTCAACTTTTGTGGGTTTTCCTTTCATTTTCCTGTGTGTATGCAGTAGGTTTATGTTTGGTTTAATTTAAGTTCACGGGTTGACCTACCTTTCCTAAATGATCATGTACCAGGTCTTCGTTTGGTATGTTTCGCAAGAAATTCTCGCTACGATATTAATCCTTATTTCATGGTTATTGCGTATTTTAAAGGTAATGGAACAACTCAAGGTTGATTACTAATAAGAAAATATTACTGAAAAGGTGTTCTTGCATGCTGAACAAGAGGAATTTTGTCAACTCTGCATTGATGCCTGATGAGCAGAATTGACGATCAATCTCTATCTCTGCCTCATCTCCTCTGAGGCCTGACAGATCGATGGGCACAAAATGGAACAGGTCAGTCTTGCTTTTTTGTTTTGCTTGATCTATTTCATTCTTTCGCGAGTCTTTAAATATGGAATTTGGTTAGGGTTTTTACTTAGATTTTTTGCTTCGAGTTGTTGCAGTATACAGCTGTCTATCCATTTCATATGCTTTTGTTGTCGAAGAGGATAGAAAGAACCTACATAAACTGTTAAGCAGCAGGCATGAGGCATGACAAGGAAGAAGGAGCCAACATCGACCTGGTTGGTGCCGATTCAGATTTGAAGCAAGCCCATTTTGATTCATGGTGTCCATTCCAACTTTCTTTGGTTATGCAATAATGTGGGGTAGGAAGGTACGTTCTGCTTATAATGGCCGCCAACAGTATATGTTATTTGCTTTGTATTTTTTTTACCTTGGGATTTATGGTTCGTCCATCTGCTTTGTTATTTCTG